CCCTAGCAGACAAACCCAGAAATAATGCTTTACCAGCTATCTGGGTATCCACTAATCTAGGCAAAATGACACCCAAAATTAACCATCACAAATGTTCACACTACCAGATACCAAAACACCTTATAAACCTACAATAAATTTTAAAGTTTGGAGCTAGTGCTAGAATAGCCAGCTGGATCAATGGAATTGATTAGAATTAGATCCAAACATTTATCATCATGTATCATAAATGTGACATTTCAAATCAGTGCTGAAAAAAACGTAACTACCATTTATCATAAATAAATATATAATAACTAGTGTAAAAATTTTTTAATAGATACTTGGGTCACATCAGACACCAAAAGAAATTCCAGATGTATTAAGGATTTAATATTTTTGAAAAACATAAAATAATCAAGAAGAAATATAGAGGAATACTGCTTCTAATCTTGGAGTGAGGAAGGACTTTTTACACAGGCACCAAGTCCAAGGACCACATAGCACTGCTCAGGGGGGTCTCGGCTTGTCCCTGTCCACAGCCACTGCTGATTGGTTGCCCTAGTCACCCAAAGGTCAAGGAGGCAGCCACATACTGCCAAGGGCTGGGTGGCTTCAAGAGCATTCAGGGGCAACTCTGCCTGGACCTGTACCAGCTGGGCTACTTTGGGAAAGTTAGGCAATTTTTCCAAGCCCCGGTTTCCTCATCCGAAAAATGGAGCACCAATGCCCTGCACGCAATCAATGAGATAATATATGTAAAATTGCCTCTCAATATTGTCTTATCCCCACCCCAAATCCCACGTGCCTTTGCTGCTACATGGATTGATTTTATCTTGCCTTCACTCCAACATGAAAAATGAGTCCTTGAAAAGAAGGAGCACAGATGTTAGAAACTTTCCTAAGGTTTTATTGGGAGTGGGGGATGCTATTGTAGCTGGATAGCTGCTTAGGTTTACCCAAGGAGGCCACAGTGGAAACAGAAATAAAGATCAGAGTGTGATCTCAGAAGATAAACTCTTGCTGCTAGCTGTCCCACACTCATCTTTGCCTCGCCCCTGGGCTGCCTGGCCTGGCTCCAGCCCTAATCTGCAACTGCCATCTATGGGCTCTTCCACTCTGATGGGTTCTCCCCTCTCTCTCTCTTTTTTTTTTTCTTTTTAACTCATTCCCTTGTATTTTATATTTTTTCACTTTTTATTTTGAAATAATTACAGACTCACAGGTTGTTGTAAAGATAGTACAGGGAGGTCTCCCTTACTCATCACCCAGTTTCTGCTCTTACATAATTATAGTACAATACCAAAACCAGAATTTGGCATTGGTATAATGTCCATGTATGTATGGTTCTATGTCATTTATCACATGTGTAGATTTGTATAACTGCCATTTCAATCAAGATACAGAACCGTTCCATCACCACAATGATCTCCATTAGGCTACCCTTTAGAGTCACACCCAGCCCCCTCCACCATCCCAGATCCCTGACAACCATTAAATTGTTCTCCAAACATATAATTTTGTCAATTTAAGAATGATATATATGGCCGGGCTCAGTGGCTCACGCCTGTAATCCTAGCACTCTGGGAGGCCTCGGCGGGCAGATGGGTCAAGGTCAGGAGTTCGAAACCAGCCTGAGTGAGAACCCGTCTCTACTAAAAATAGAAAGAAATTAATTGACTAACTAAAAAATATATATACAAAAAATTAGCGGAGAATGGTGGCACATGCCTGTAGTCCCAGCGACTCGGGAGGCTGAGGCAGAAGGATTGCTTGAGCCCAGGAGTTTGAGGTTGCCATGAGCTAGGCTGACGCCATGGCACTCACTCTAGCCTGGGCAACAAAGTGAGACTTTGTCTCAAAAACAAACAAAAAAAAGAAACAGAGATTGGAGTGATTTGAAGAAGGAGCCACCAGCCAAGGCATGTGGACAGCCTCTAAAAGCTTAAAAGCAAAGGACATGGATGCTCCTCTGAAGCCTCAAGAAGCAGTCTGGTCCTGCTGGCACCTTGATTTTAAATTTCAGACCCCAGAATTGTGAGAATAAATTTGTGGTGTTTTAAGCCACTAAGTTTGCGGTAATTTGTTATAGTAGTAATAAGAAACTAATCAGTGGTTTATAAATGCTTTCTCCCAGCCTGTAGCTTGTCTTTTCATCCTCTTAAAAAGTATCTTCCCAAAGTAAAAGTTTTTAATTTTGGTGATGTCCAATTTATGGATTTTTCTTTTATGAATTGTGCTTTTGGTATCATGTCTAAGAACTCTTCACCAAACCCTAGGTTCTGGGTATTACATTTTACATTTAAGTCTATGATTTTTTTTTTTTTCAGATAAGGTCACCCTGGGTAGAGTGCTGTGGTGTCATCACAGCTCCCTGCAACCTCAAGTTCCTGGGCTCAAGTGATCCTCCCACCTCAGCCTCCTGGGACTACAGGTGTACACCACAACACCTGGCTAACTTTTTCTATCCTTGGTAGAGATGAGGTCTCACTCTTGCTCAAGCTGGTCTCAAACTCCTGAGCTCACCCAATCCTCCCCCCTTGGCTTCCCAGAGTGGTAGGATTACAGGCATAAGCTACCGCACCCGGCCTTATGATCTATTAATATTTGGAGCTAATTTTTGTATATATGTGAGATTGAGCTCAAGTTTTGTTTTTTGTTTTGCCCAATTGCTCTAATATGATTTGAGTTGAATTCACATTCAAATACAATTCCTCTATTGAATTGCCTTTATACCTTTTCAAAGATCAGTTGACTGTAATTGTGTGGACTATTGCTAGGTTCTCTATTCTGTCCCATTGATGTATGCATCTTTTATATTTGCCAAATACTACATGAATTCGTTCTTGCTGAAATTCCAACAATGCAGATGAAACAAAATCCCCCTTGAGCATTTTGCCCATCTTGCTCCCCTCCGAAGCAACTTACTTATGGGCAGTTTGTGTGTATCCTGCAGACCTTTTTCAATACATTTATACACTACATATGTGCATATACTTGTAGAACCACATGGTAGTTTTGTTTGAGGCATGACCATCACTGGGATCATGCTATTAAAATAAGACACACTCATCAACTTGCTTTTTTTCAATTAAAAATATGGCATCTTTCAATTGCAGTTTGTATAGATTAATCTTGTTTTCTAAAAATATTTCCATTTTATTTCTTTATAATTCCACATAACCACCCAGTTAGGAACATATAGACTGTCACAGTTCTTTGCTATGATAAATAATGCTGGCAAGTATGCACATGCATTAATATACATAAGCCTTTGCAAACTTGAGCTTGTGTTCCTGTGGAAAGGCCTTCTATCTGTGCCCTCTCTGAATCGAAGGAATGCCCATGCACATTTTACTCATATACCACCACCCAGCCTCCAAAAAGTTGGGCCAGTTAATGCTTCCATCAACTGTGGACCCAGGATGGTTTTTTCCCCATTCCTCACTAACATTGGAAATGTTTAATTATTCTCACTTTAATAATCTTTATCAAATAAAGATTAGTTATTAATATATTTAATAATCCTTAATGGTTATCATTCTGATGGATGAAAAGTATGGTTAGTATATCCTTTGAGTTGGCATTTCCATGATTACTACTGAGGCTGAGAGCACTTTTCACAAGTTTATTGGATATTTGTATCTTTTCTTTTGTTACTTACCTAATCGAATAAATTGCCTCTGTTTTATTTGGGCTCTTTGTCCTTTCTTTCGTTATTAGTGTGTAGGGGTTCTGGATGTTAATCAGAATTCATACATGTGGCAAATATCTTCTCCCAGCCTACCGCTTGTCTTTAAACTTTGTCATGTCATTCATCCACCAAAGTTCTACATATAAAGTTCATCGCTTGTGTTATGGCTTTGGATTTTTGTGCCATATTTAAGAAAGGATTTTTTTGTTTTTTTACCTACTCCCCAGGGCCCCACACCTAGCATCTGCCCCAGGTCTCTGCCATCCCTACCTCATCCCTACCTCCAGGCCTTCATTGCTGCCCAACCTGTCCCTGCACTCCTGAGTCCCAGCTCAGACTCCTTCCTCCTTCACCGCACAGACACTCCTAACACAGCCCGGATTGGGTGCAGGCCCCTCCCCCTATCTTTCTAAGTGAAATTAAACCTGACCCAGCGCCCCACTATTAGGTATTCCTACCACATCCGTGTTCCACAAGGGAAGGCCACTTCCCTGGACAGGGAGAGGGAGTGGATATGGGTCTGAACTCCTTGAGGAAACTGCACACTTCTGGCCCTTTCCAGTCTTGGGACGTCTTCCCAAACCTCCCTCCATTGTCTCGCCACTTCCTCCCAACCTCTTCTCTTGGGGTGAATTCACATAATCTCTCCTCCATGGGTCTTCAGAACCCGCGTGCAGGCCATTCCTTTCTGAAGTGGCCCAGTGGGATGCTGGGCCAGATTTCCTGACGACCAACACTGCTCATGAACGCACCTGTCACCCAGGGCACGATTTGTACCAAGGGATTCATCAACCTCATAAATGCAATAAACATAAAAATATCCTCATATATAAAGGTCAGGTGAATAAAGGCATCTCTGAAAACTGCGGCTGTTTTTTATTAAGCTGCAAAACCAGCATCCTTACTAGACACACAAAGCTTCACAGCAAATCCGTAGGTGCCCCCTCACACCCACCCACCCACCACCCGCTTCCAATCAGAGGCTGCCCCTGAGCCCCTTCTTTTTAGAAATCCTACAGGCGTGGCCGGGCGCAGGTGGCTCACGCCTGTAATCCTAGCACTCTGGGAGGCCGAGGCGGGCGGATTGCTCAAGGTCAGGAGTTCGAAACCAGCCTGAGCAAGAGCGAGACCCCGTCTCTACTATAAATACAAAGAAATTCAATGGCCAACTAATACATATATAGAAAAAATTAGCCGGGAATGGTGGCACATGCCTGTAGTCCCAGCCACTCGGGAGGCTGAGGCAGTAGGATTGCTTGAGCCCAGGAGATTGAGGTTGCTGTGAGGTAGGCTGATGCCATGGCACTCACTCTAGCCTGGGCAACAAAGCGAGACTCTGTCTCAAAAAAATAAATAAATAAAAAATAGAAATCCTACAGGCGCTACTGAGGATATGAAGCAAGGCAGATGAATGGCTCTTCAGCTACGCTGTTCCGTCTCTCACGCCCAGCTCCCTGCCACGGCGGGGTCCTCCCCTCTGCCCACAGGCTCAGGGAGTCTCTAGGTCACCCTCGCTAGGCTGCCTGCCTGGCCCGCCCTCACGCAGGCCCACTTCTTGGCCTCCCCAAGCCAAGAGAGCACAGGCTGACGGTGGAGGGCAGGCCTGGGCAAGCAGGGCGTGGAGGGCTGGTATATTACAGGCTAAGCGTCACTGCAGGGTCTGATGACTCGGGGCAATTTCTCGAGCCCACACTGTCTATATGGGCAGGAACTGTGGCTGAGGGGTGTTCGGGAGCAGCTATGGGGCATTATGGGGTGGAAATGCACCGCACGGCCGGCCCCGACTGGGCTCAGGAGGTCCGGGGGCCACGCGGAGCAAAGGGAAGCTCGCGCCCCAAGAGCGTGGCCACCCTCGCGCGCACTAGCCGGCTCCCGCGCAGTGGATTGGCTGAGGAATGCGGAGCCCCCCGAGGGTGGAAGGGCGCCATCTGGTGGCTGGCCGCGGAGGTAGCCTCGAGAGGAGTGACCCCAGTGACTTAGGTCGCGTGGAGGGCCGGCTGCGGGCTCCGGGGGCACCACTTCGCACACTCCCACTCGAACGGTGCCCCTAGGAGCTCTGCCTGTGCCCGCTCTGCTCGTGCCCACAGCCCCTGGAGGAGCCCGGGCTACGCCCGAGTGGATGGAGAATGAGGTGGGGAAGAGAAGGGCCCTTCTGGCCCAAGGGCGTGTGCCGGACAAAGGGCACAGAGGGGCGTGGCACGTTCGGTCTGGACCGAGCAAAAAGTGCGGGGGGCTGGGGGGGCGGGCAGTGGCAGGAGATGAGGATGGAAAAGCAGGGTGGGCATAGCTGTAAAAGGTCCCCAGAGTCTTACTAAGGAGTTGGGACTTTATCCTGCGCCAGGCATTTCAAAGCTAAGTAGCTTCCAGATATGCCTTTTTAGGCCAGCAGTGTTTCAAGCAACTTGGGGTGTGGATACCTTCAAGGGGAGCCTGCTCGCCCACAGACCCCACCGCTCCCTGCAGCCTGTAATTAACCCCAGCTGCGCCCATTGCGTCACTTCCCTGGCCTTGAGGCAAGTGCATGCGTGATTCTGCAAGGTCGCACCTGACCTGGCGTGGCATGGCTGCCAGTGGCAGGAGGGGTGTGCTGCCAGCCTGCAGTCCTTCTCACTGGCTGATCTGGGGGTGCCCCCACCCCATCAGCAGCAGTATATGACGACTTGAGGCGTCCAGGCTCCCAAGAAAAGGCTGCCGCCCTGGTCCCTACAGGGCCCCCAGACAGACACAGTACTGCATGGTACTGTCCTTGCTTTTCTCCTGTCCTTGCTTCGGATGGGCACTAGCTGGGCTGCCCCTATTTCAGGGATTCCCTCCTCCTGCTCCTCCTCCCAATTCTCCATTCTCTGTGACTCTGTCCTCCCTCAAGGAAACTGAGGGAGAGCAGCCCTCTTCTCTCGGACAGGACTGTAGGGAGCCCGAGGAACTCAACACCAGCTAGCAGGCAGATTCCAGGCACGCCAGGGCTCGGGTCCTGGCTACTGTGCAGAAGACCAAAGACCTTAGACGGGGGAAAGAGTGCCCTCTGGCGGTCATTCTTGGAGTGGCGGTGGAGAACTGGAACACTTATATTTTGCTCCGACTCTGTCCCACGACCTTGAATGAAACAGGAAAAAATGAATGAAACAGGAGAGTAGTGTAGTGTAGTGCGCCGGTAGTGTAGCACACCAGGCCAGAAACAAACAAACAAAAAAGAAATGCTAAAAGAAGTCCTCAATGTAACGGAATTCAATTTGTACTCCCTAAATCTATTAAAATTTTAAAAGAAAAGGAAAATGTTTAAAGTTCTTCAAAGAAAGAAAATGATATAAATCAGAAACCCTCTACAATGTAACCAAAATGTCAAAAAAAAAAAAAAAAGAAAAGCCAAACAAACAAAAAAGGAAAAAAAAAAGCTTTTTATGGGGTGGTGGGCAGGCGGGAGGGGGGAGGAGGAAAGGGGTATATGCTTTCATAATGTGTGTGGTGCACACCACTGGGGGATTGGACACATGGGGGGAGGGAGGGGGGCAGGGGCAATATTTGTATTTGTACCTACATAATATGATGAAATAAAAGGAAAACAAAATTATAACACAGACACACACAAGAAAAGAAACCCTGATCCATATAAAGGAACAAAAGGCATTATAGAAGTAATAAATAAAGGTAAAGTGAAATCTTTTCTTATTCTTAATTGATCTAACATGCAACAATGCATGTGGCAATTATAGCACATGGTAAGTGAGATGAATAACAGCAGTGTTATCAGGGACGGGAGGGAGGAATTGTGAACGCTGTCACAAAGCACCTGCACTACTTGTAGTACTTGTGGACTGGTATAGTGTTATTCAAAAGTGGATGTAGCTAAACACAGAAGGGCAAATAATATATGATTCCATTTATATAGGTAGCTAGAGTAGGAAAATTTATAGAAAGTAAATTAGAGGTTATAGTGCCAAGAATGAGGCGGAAGAGATGGGAATATTGTCCTATGGGGTAACCAGAGTTTTCTTGTTTAGCATAACTAAAATGTTATGGAAATAGTGGTGATGTTTATACAACATTGTGATTGACTTAATGCCACTGGATTGTACCACTTAAAATAGTTAAATGAAGCTGGCCAAAGTGGCTCACACGCCTGCTAATCCTAGCACTTGTGAAAGCAAAGGCAGAGGATCACCCTGAGTCGGAGTTCAGACCAGCCCAGGCAAACCCATAAGGACCTGTGCTATTAAAAAAAAAAAAAAAAAAATTAGCCAGGCCTAGGCACATACCTGTAGTCCACTACTCAACGGCGAGCCGGAAGGATCCCCTAGGTCCAGAAATTCAAGGTCTGCAAGTGACTATGATTGCACCACTGCACTCTAGCCCTGGGCAACAGAGTAAGGACCGTATCTCTTTAAAAAAAAAAAAAAAAAAAGTAATTTTTGGGAGGCAGAGTCAGAAGTATAGCTTGAAGCCAGGAGTTCAAGACCAGCCTGAGCAACATAGTGAGACCCAATCTCTACAAAAAGTAAGCATTAGCTGGGCATAATGGCATGCGCTATAGTCCCACCTACTTAGAAAGCTAAGGCAGGAGGATCGCTTGAGCCCAGAAGTTTGAGGTTACAGTGAGCTATGGCAACACCACTGCACTACAGCTCAGACAACAGAGCAAGACCTTGTTTCATTAAAAAAAAACCACGCGCACACACATACACACACACACAAAGTGAAAGAATGAAGAAAGATACCCATGCCAAAACCAATCAAAAGAAAACTTAAATAGTTATATTAATTTCAGACAAAGCAGACTTCAGAACAAGGAAAATATCATGGATAAAGAGGGCAGTATGGGCCGGGCGCGGTGGCTCACGCCTGTAATCCTACCACTCTGGGAGGCCAAGGTGGCAGATTGCTCAAGGTCAGGAGTTTGAAAACAGCCTAAGCGAGACCCTGTCTCTACTAAAAATAGAAAGAAATTGAATTGACCAACTAAAAATATATACAAAAAAATTACCAGGCATGGTGGCTCATGCCTGTAGTCCCCAGCTACTCGGGAGGCTGAGGCAGGAGGATTGCTTGAGCCGAAGATTGAGGTTGCTGTGAGCTAGGCTGATGCCACGGCACTCACTCTAGCCTGGGCAACAAAGTGAGACTCTGTCTCAAAAAAAATAAAAATAAAATAAATAAATAAATAAAGAGGGCAATATGAAATGATAAAAGAGTCAATTCTCCAAAAGGATATAATAATCCTTAACCTACATACACCTAACAACAGAGCATCAAAATATGTGAGGCAAAAACTGATAGAACTGCAATGAGAAATAGACGAATTGACCATTTTAGTTGGATTTCAACACCCCTGCACCAGTAATTGACCCATCCATCAAGCAGAAAATCATTAAGAATATAGTTGAACTGAACAGCACCATCAATCAATTGTATCTGATTGTCCTTTATAGAATATTTCATCCAACAAAAGCAGAATACACATTCTTCTCAAGCTCACATGTAACACTCTCCAAGATAAACCATATTCAGGGCCACAAAACATGCCTCAACAAATTTTCTAGAATAGAAAGCATACAAAGTATGTCCTTAGACCACAATGGAATTAAACTAAAAATCAGTATCGGAAAAACAGCCAAAAAATCCCAAAACATTTGAAAATTAAACAATATAATTCTAAATATTCAAAATAAATAGATCAAAGAAGAGATCTCAAGAGAAAATTTTAAATACCTTGAACTAAGTGAAAATGAAAATACAAAGTATCCACATTTGTGGGATTCAGTGAAAGCAGTGGGCCAGGTGCAATGGCTTATGCCTATAATCCCAGCACTTTGGGAGGCCAAGATGGGAGTATTGCTTGAGGCCAGGAGTTCAAGACCAGCCCAGGTAAACGTACCATATAGCAAGACCCTATCTCTACAAAATATTAAAAAAAAAAAAAAATTGGTTGGGTGTGGTGGTTCACACCTGTAATCCTACCACGTGGGAGGCTGAGGCGGGAGAATTACTTGAGATCAGGAGTTTGAGACTAGCCTGAGCAAGAGTGAGACCCCATCTCTTCAAAAAATAAAAATATTAGTTGGGCATGGTGGCACACACTTGTAGTCCCAGCTACTTGCGCAGCTGAGGCGGGAGGATTACTGGAGCCCAGGAGTTTGAAGTTGCTGTGAGCTATGATGACACCACTGCATTCTATCTCAGGCAACAGAGACTCTGTCTCCATTAAAATTTTTTAAAAATTGGCTGGGTGCGGTGGCTCATGCCTATACTCCTAGCACACTGGGAGGCCGAGGTGAGAGGATCACTCAAGGTCAGGAGTTTGAGACCAGCCTGAGCAAAAGAGAGACCCATCTCTACTAAAAATGAAAGAAATTAATTGGCCAACTAAAAAGATATAGAAAAGATTAGACAGGCATGGTGGTGCATGCCTATAGTCCCACCTACTTGGGAGGCTGAGGCAGAAGGATTGCTTGAGCCCAAGAGTTTGGGGTTGCTGTGAGTTAGGCTGACACCACAGCACTCTAGCCTGGGCAACACAGTGAGACTCTGTCGCAAAAAATTTTTTTTAAAATTGAAAATAAGTAAACAGGCCGGGCGAGGTGGCTCACGCCTGTAATCATAGCACTCTGGGAGGCCGAGGTGGGTGGATTGCTTGAGGTCAGGTGTTCAAAACCAGCCTGAGCAAGAGCGAGACCCTGGTCTCTACTATAAATAGAAAGAAATTAATTGGCCAACTAATATATAGAGAAAAAATTAACCGGGTATAGTGGCACATGCCTGTAGTCCCAGCCACTTGGGAAGCTGAGGCAGAAGGATTGCTTGAGCCCAGGAGTTTGAGGTTGCTGTGAGCTAGCCTGATGCCACAGCACTCACTCTAGCCTGGGCAACAGAGCGAGACTCTGTGCACTCACTCTAGCCTGGGCAACAAAGCGAGACTCTGTCTCAAAAAAAAAAGAGTTCAAAGTTGCAGTGAGCTATGATCCTAACATGGCACAAAAAGCAGTGCTTAAATAGAAATTTATAGCATTGGGTACATTGAATATAAATAGAAATATAATAGAAAAGACAAAAGATCTGAAATTCAATAACATCAGCATCTATTTTATGAAACTAGAAAAAGAAGAGCAATATCAGCCTATCCAAGAAAAGAAATAATAAAAATTAGAGCAGAAATCAATAAAATTGAAAACAGGAAACAAATACAAAAAAAATCAATGAAACCAAAAACTGGTTCTTCTTTGAAAAGACCATCATTCAAATTAATAAACCCGTAGGCAGATTAACCAGGAAAAATAGAGAAAAGACAAAAATTATTAATAATAGAAATAAAAGAAGGGTCATCACCGCTGAGACCAAGGACATTAAAAAGATAATAAGGGAATATTATAAACAACCCTATGCCCACAAATTTCATAATATAAATGAAACAGACCAATTCCTTGAAAGACATAAACTAACAGAACTCACAAGGAGAAATGCATAATCCAAATAGGCCTATATTTATTAAAGAAATTGAATTAATAATAACAACTTTCCATAAAAGAAAGTACCAAGCCCAGAGAATTTCATTGGTGAAGTCTATCAAACATTTTTTAAATGATGCCAATTCTCTGTAATCTTTTCCAGAAAATAGAAGCAGAGACAACACACCTGTGTCTTGTTAGATTCTTTGTCTATTTAGCGTCCATTAGCCACAGGGCCAAACTAATGGCCACAGTTGTTAGCACCTGTTAATAGACTATGCGACCCAGAGTCCATACACTGAGCCACCCTTTTTATCTAGTTCTCACACATCAAGACATTTTCCCTGCCCTAAATCAACCCAGGGTCAGGTACCAGACAACTAGGGACAGGCCCTATGTCCCAAAGCCCACTGGAATTATTCAAACCAGCCAATCCTAAGCTTTTTCCCTTGCCTGCCTTGCCTTTCCCACAGAAAGCCTACCAAAGACTCTGGGCCAGGCTTTCCCCTAGCTCCCTCTGCCTCCTGACCTACTTTGGTGCTTCCCCTCTTTTCCTGAGAAACATAAATAATAAATTCTTCTTTCAAAGGCAGGTTGTCTCAGTCCCTGTCACCTTACCATACCTAATGAAAACAAATCCCAGGTACACATTTTAGA